AAGGCACTCGAGGAGTAGCCCTAATGGTAGCACATAATAATACCAATCACCTGCTGTCAGGTTGTCGATCGTTCTGTCTCTCTCGGAAATTGGTTGGGAGCAAATTGATGACGGGTTTCACTCCCTGGCACATGTCAGTATCAACTTACCATCGAAACGAATGAACGAATGATCGAGGAATAGTCCCGAAACACAAATTATAATACATAAATTTTCTCTTCACATGCCTTATTAATTCCTATAGTGCTTTAAAAAGGTTTTAGAAAGAAAAAGATTTTTAGTTTCAATATGATTCAGATCAGTAAACATGTTGCCTTCGTACTTTGATCAGCTTTTGTTTCATCCTCGCACTAGAAAGGGATATTTGTATTAGTTGTAATTCGATAGCCGGATTCTTACACCCGTAAATTCAATAATTTTTGCTATTGTTTAGAAAAGTTATCCGATGGTCAGTATACAGGAAATAATAAACGATGGTTGTCTGATTGGTTGTCTTTTGGAAAAATTATGATATTTACATTTTCTTGACGGAAAAAAATTCCCAGCTTTTTTGTGAAGTTTTCTAAACAACACAGGAATTTTTGTATTAGTTTTTTGCTTAAAATAACAATAAAACCAAGATTGCCTGGAAATCGGAATGGGTTTCCAGTGTTACTGATTAACCGGAATGCTACTACACACAAGACGTAATTGTTATCAGGCTCTCTGACATTGAATTGCATGCTTTCGGTGACTAAAAACAGTAGCTGTTCGCTTAAAAAGCCTGCAAAAATTGTGATCTTTAATTTCTCATCCGTCACAATGGATAATTTAATTTGCATGATTGAAGAACTAGGAATTGTATCTTTTGCAGTCGACTGGCACTTCACCAGAATCTGACTGAAATGAGGGATTAAAGACTAAAGACTGAAAAAGAAATTGTAATTTTCGTTTTCTTTGATTAAAACACTAGCAAAAATTTTCCTCAGAGTATACATTTAAGTATTCAGTGCGTAAATAATTCAGTGAAACCTCTCTCCATTGGACGCTCATTTTAACACTCGGGGATTAGCTGTAAATCGTAACGTGGTTACCCAACTATACAACTAACAACTTCCCAGCTTCTTTGACTAATGCTTCATCACCTGATGGTCCGCCATCAGGTAATGCATCGGTTCTGGAGATCTTGACCAGACCAACAGTTCTCCAAAAGAAGCGTTTGAAAAAGTTTTAATAGCTTTTATAAACTCTTGTTGCGTCCTGAATATAGCCTTAAGCTTTTTCCACTCCTAGAACACAGTGAGACATTCTACGGCTGGGATTTCTTACTGGAATGACACGGAAAGCAATGTTTTTTTTACAAATTTCATTTCACAGTAGCAAAAAATAATCCTACGAAAATTTGTGCGTTTTAAGTTTACTTAAAAATGTGGAGTTTTGTGAGCAATTAGTCATGAAACTGCTGGTATCCAGGAAAACAGCAATTATCGAATTAACAGCACGCCATCGAAAATTTTTCCGGTTTTTTTCCCCTCGGACAACATTTCTCAGCTCCTAAAGTTCTTTCTCCATGACTAGCAGTTTTACTAATTTTCCTTTTTACTTGTTTTTAATCCCACCAGTCTTACGCAATCCAAATTCCAGGATTTAGGAAAGGAACAAGAGAAAAAGGGGGTTAGTGCCAAATTTTTTTGGCAATAAACTCCTTAAACAATTTTTCGATTTGCATTGTCCTTTGAACAATGAATGTAATTTGCGTGTCTAAAATCATTCAGTTTAGAAAATGTTTCGTTTTGAAATTCCTTACATAATGGGATCGTTTTTTTAATGATTTGGGCATGGCAAAAAATTGACGGTCTAGGCCTATTTGTGGTATAGCAGATTTTTTTCGAATGAAATACACTTGAACAATTCCAGCAGAAAAGCTGTGTTTTTGACGGTTTTTTGAAAAAGGAACATTCCAAAATGCGGCCCTTCTCCCAAAACGATCATGTGTTTAGACTTATAGATTAATGTGGATTTGAGCGCAGTACAGAAAACTTCAGTTTCGTTAACAGCACTGGCCATGCTGGACGTATAAAATTGAAGTTTTTGAAAGCTTCATTGGAACCGCACAGCAACAGCCTCAAACGAACTAAGCGGGCCTTTCAATTACTTTCCGTGATAGCACTTGGCTCCGTCGCAGAAATATATGCTGCAGATGGCAAATTTTGGACATGTTGATCCTTTAGTGATTACAAACCAATAAAATTTTGGTCTTGAGTACTGTTATTCCATGGAATTAATACCTGCAAAAATATTACTCAGTAATCATTGTTCAGCGCAGATTGGAATGGGGCACTAATTGCAAGTTATGAACTTTATGCCGCGCGGTAAACTCCAAAGTTTAATTTGTGTTGCTCAGCTAATTTTAAAGTTGTAAAGCGGTTTCAATTTGGACCAAGAGTCATAGAATGGGATACAGTTTGAAAATTAAATTTGTTTAACTCATTTTACATCGGGCGGTCATTTCATTCTCCAAGGTTTGGAATTCATTCATTTTTAGGTTATAAAATCCAGGGGGTTTGAAACGATTGCGTATTAATATGTAAGAAAGTTTGAAGGCTACATGATAATACTTATCTGGCCACGTTCTAAAATTTTATCCCTAGCTTTTGCATGTGGAATTCTTTCCAGTTACTTTGACTTTTGCTGCATTGTCCGGTGGTTGGCATGCTGCTTGGTTCGTTTCGTTTCCCTAAGTTTAAAACAACGTATCAGCGAAAATAAATAGCGGAATGCACCAGGGTAGTCAATGCCATTATTGGTTTCTGGCTCGCTTCACGTTCCTGGCCCGCATTTGGCTCGAAAACGCACTGACAAAATTTCAGCACCAAAACTTGCGTGGCTGACAAGTAGAAATACTCGGGCAGACGAACACACACACGACGTACACATATACAAAGACAAGGTAGTCGCAATATGTGTTTTTGCTGTGTGTTGTAGAGTTCTAGTGCTGCACGGCAAAAACGCATAATTACAAGAAAATAATGATAAAAATTAAGAAACAATAAAAAAGCGGCAAATTTTAATTTCATTTCATCCTTTTTCACAATCTACCAACTCTGCAACGGAAATTTTCAGGAATCTACCTCTCCGTGGTCTCCGATGTGAATGCGTTTGTGCTATTTTCACCAAAGCATGGCACCAATCATTCCAGGACATCAATATTTTTAGAGGTCTATAGTCCATCAATCTTTTCCTGCAGCTCAGCTGCTGATTTTGCTTTAAAATTTTTCGAAATGCCCGAAATCTCGAAAGGCTTTTTTCAATGTTTTAGGAAAGTGTGTTTTACAGAACGGTTGTCCATCAAGCTCAAGTCACATTGTGGGAACGGAGTCCGGACGGCGTCATGTGCTTCAGCTCGATAGCATCATGAGGCTGGATTGTGCCGTTATGGTTCGGACTGCTTCAAGTATTATCACCATGGTAAGCAGAAATATCACTGATCTTTTCTAGAGCCGAAGCTTCATGTGTCCTTGGAAATTTTGGAACAGTTTCACGAACAACAGGCCCATCCAGAACTAGCTGATATTGCGTTAGTGGCAAGTGGCGCTGTGGTCTTGCTGAAGGTCGAGAGTTCAACAGTTTCACTTAACTAGATCCTAGCGAGCCTCATTTCATATCGAATTTATTGAAGAGGCGGGGAACGAGGAGATGGCAACCACCACTCCTTCTACGATTTGTCCACTCGTTTCGATCGCAAATTGGTACTTGCACATAACTGGGAGTCAGACTTACTGTCAGCTTCTTTTTAAGCGACGCTTGAAAGAGGAGACCATCGATAGCCAGATAAGTGGATGGTTGCTGCTGACACATGCCATCACTTTGACTACTTTCAAATACCTTTGTTTGTCACGGAGAATGATTCTTCACTTTGACTTTTGACATCCAGAGAATTTCCAGGAATATCACCCTTAACCGAAACAATCAGGCTAGGCAATATCGTAATTATTTATGTACAGCGCTCGACTACATAAGTTTCACTCGAAATTGCCGGCAAACATGAATTCATTTTGAGGAGAGGCCATTCGTGGATCTGGTGGCAGTGGCAGATTTGACGTTGTTGTCTCATATACGGCAGTCTCTCTGCATTACTGCACAGCTGACGCTGTCCACGTCGGTCACGGTACCAGTATCGTGCACCGTATCGCCATTCGATTCTGCTCGTCAATCGTGCCTTCTGCGAATCACTGTACCTTATTCGTGGTTCCCAATCAACACGAATCAAAAACAGGTTTCTCGTACTTATAATACTTGAAATAGCTGTTTATTTACAATTTGATTGTATATTTATGCAATCAGCAACTTTTCCTGTTACCTTGACCAACGCTGTAACACTTAGTGGCCAACCTGCTAGCCATCCCGGCATTCGCTTCTTCTTGACTTCGATCTTTTTTTATAATTTTTATTACGATAAATTATTTTAAAATTTTGTTAGGAGCAAATTTGCTTATGGGGGGGAAATATTTGTAGGGGGGG